AGCCCCTCCGCAGCAGCAGGCGGCACCCCCTGCCTCTGCCTCTCCCCTGCCTGTGCCAGGGCTGAGATTGCAGCTCCCCTGTCCCTGCGCTGCTGCTGTGCCACCCCAGAAGCCACACGCCTGGGGACATCCTGCAGCCACACGCGGGGCTTTGCAGAGCACGGGGTCTCACAAAGGGAAATACTCCGCGCAAGTGAGCCGGCAGAGCGTCTCCCGCCGACCCTCAGGGATGCTCATGCCCATCAGCAGCTGAGCAGTGACTTTCGGGCGTCACACCAGCAGACAAAGCAAAGCGTGCTGCGCTGAAGAAACCACTCGAGTTTGCACGAGCTCGCGACAGGTGACAGCAGTTTCTCACGGCCGCGGTCAGATCGCGATACGCGACGTGGCTCGCCAGCCAGAGCCTCTCCGCAGGGCGAGCAGCAAACCAGGCTACTTCATTCCTTGCTGGCAGAAGAGGCCCCGTTGGCCACCACAAGACAAACGGGGATTGTGGCAAGTCTCTGGGCACCCACGGCACCAGCTCTCAGCCGGGGACCTCTGGGCTCTGTGTTCTCTCCGCACAGAGGGCTGTGGAATTTCACACCCCGTCACCAGGATTAGCAGCAAATCCCAAGATGACATTTGTTCAGGAGAAGAAAGAGAAGCCCTGACCAAGCAGTTTCCCTTGAGGGGACAGTGTAGAAATAGCTGAGGAGCAAAGAATGACCCTTTTCTTTCCATCCTGCCTCCGAGCAAGTTTGCCAGCATCCATCACCAAGCCCACGAAAATAAACACGGCTCTGCGTATAAACAGAGCGAACATCAAACAGCATTCCCATGTGCAAAGGACCCATACTCCAGTCCGGAGAAGGCAGCTGCCTCCACGGCGGGTACATACAGCAGCGCTCTGCCCCGTGTAGCAGTACTACATCAAACTGTGGAGTTCTGTCCAGAGCAACCCTAAATTCAGGTGAGTGTAGGATGAATTGAAAACTAGCTGGGATGTTTCCCGTCTCGGAGCAGGCATGGGATTTCTAATGATTGCAAGCACACCTGGAAGTTCTCTGCAGGTCCTGTGCAGAAGTACTGGCCAGACCTCACCACACTTCTCTCGCAGGTTGAGACGACACCAAAAGCAGAAACCACTTCCAAGCAATCAGACATCGTTCGGCATCAGAAGCAAGCAGTCACCAGGCTGAGCCTCCCAAACTAGAACTTTCTTTGCAGGCTTTCTAGCACCTCCTGATAGCTGCTAAGTGGCTGCAAAGTCCAGCTCCAGGCAAGACACTGAGCACTCTCTCGCCCCTTAGAAGGCTTTAACACCTGGACAGCAGGAACCAAGAGGAGCAGCCACAACAAAAGGGCACCAACTGTGTTCAGCAGCCTGCTCCAAGTTTCCCATCCCACTCCCTCCTTGGGTGGGAGACAAAACACACAATATGGAAGGACAGGGTCACTTTTCAGAGCCAAAACCATTTCTCCCCTTCGCTCTTGCATGTGCCCAGCGGATGAAGAAGGAGCAGAAAAGCTCAAGGTGTGGGGCTTGCTGTTGAGAGTGCTCCTAAGCCTGGGGGCACACAGAACCTCTTATTGGGCAGGCTGCAGGCACCCTCTCTGCAGGCACACTCCCGACCAGAACATCTGTATAGGCTGCTGGGCCACTGCCACACTCTGGAAATATAAATAGGTGTTAAATTCAACTCCATGTTGACAGTGTGACACGTCTCTCAATAACCACAGCTCCAAAAGGAGCAGCGCTGAGCCACTCCAGCCCAGCGAGAAGGCGAGGCAGGGCAGCGGGCCAGGCACAGGATGGCCTCCTGCCCAAGCATCTCATTTCCTTTGGAAGCAGCTGTTATTTCCCTGCAGCTCTGCGTGCTCCGCTTCTCTTGTTCTCCCTGGACCTTCGGAAGCGTCCCCCTGTGACCGTCGCCCAGAGGGGCCTCGTGCTTCCCAGCCTGGCCCAGCGCCTGGCCAGGGCTGTGCTTCAAGCATGAACTGGGGTCCCTGTAATCCCCGTTTGACGGGACCCCTGCAGACCAGCCCTTTGCTGGTTTGCCTGGTCACAGCCTGCCCCACACCTCCCTGACAGCCCATTCCTTTGGCTGCCAGTAGAGCAACTGGTGGAAACTGCCTGGGCCGTCACAGACCTGATGTTCCTTGAGAAATAAATACTTTGAGAGAGGCTCGGGTCAGCCACACCCCAGTTGTATGACCCGCTCCCAGCTCCGCTGTCCTCCAGGAGGTTGGCCAGCCCACCTCTGCTCCGCACCTCCTATGGGCTGCTTTACTGGGGGCTCACTGGGAGATCCGGAGCGGGGTCCACCGCACAAGGATGATCTAGACACTTCTCGGCTGCCTCAGGGCTGCAGCAACCACCCAGTAACAGACTGACAAGTGCTGCCAGCACAGGACCCTTACCTTGGTCTGCTTCCAAAGCAGTTTGTACTGGGAGGCTGGTGTCTGCCCTCCGTGGCTGCAGCTGTGCTGCTGGGGTCCCGTCCAGGCAGCTGGGACCCTGACTGTGTGGAGAAAAAGTGGGTGAAGAAAATGACGGAGGCACCTACTACTTCTACCCTCCTTCCCTCCCTTCATCCTTCCAGAAAGGAGACCCAAAGGCACAACAGCCCCACAGGACATTACAGGACAGACCCAGCAGCACGCACGGAGCCCCTGCTCTCCTCTCCCACCGCTGTGCGACGGCAGAGCCCGTCCCCACAGCACCCCACGGCTCCAAGCACAGCACCGGGGAAGGCAACCGCAGGACTTTGCAGAACCGGCAGCACCAGGAGAGCGGCCGCATTTAAGACTCCCCGATTTCACAGGTTTCATCTCCCAGCGAGGAAGAGGAGGAGA